TTTTATCAAGAAAGCTTTGCTGATGTCAATTTCAACCGTATTTCCGTTAATATTGTCAAAATTCTATTCTTTCTTTCTAGAACTTTCTTGAATACCGACTTGATGATTTGTACAAGTGAAAACAAAATAATGTTGTCAACGGCATCTTTTTTGAACGGTTGATTTTTGTTTTCCCTTTCAGTTAAGTAGATGTTATTTATATTTTATCACTTGTTTTTCCTTGGTCTGATCAACTTCAAACACTATGTTTATAATCATTTACTTATGCTGAAATTTTTTAAATGTATTTTCACTGTTATTATCTTATCAGTTTGTCACGATTTTATTATTGTTGCTTTTTAGATGAAATGTTTCAATAATTATATTTATTACTAGTTTCATTATTTGCTTTTCATGATTTTTCTTATTGTTGTTGCTTTTAGATGAAGCATTTTCAATATTATTATTTTAACCCTATTTTTATTTTTTTAGATGAAGTATTTTACAATTATCATCCATCTTATTATTGCTTTTTGCTTTTAGATGAAGCATTTTACAATTATTATTTTATTACTAGTTTTACTTCATCTTATTATTGTTGCTTTTTAGATGAAGTATTTTACAATTATTATTTTATTACTAGTTTTACTTTATTATTCCATCTTAATTATTATTTTTTTTTTCAACGATACATCTGAAGTATTTTCTTTTATTATTTTATACTTTTTTTATTTCATCTTCTTATTGTTCTTTTTCAAACGAAGCATTATTATTTTTATTATTTTATTATAGTTTTTTCTCATTAGTCTTTAAACAGCTGCGCTTTTTTTTTTATCGTTTATTATTATTTTATATTTTTTTCATTAGTCTTACACCAGCTGCGTTTTTATCGTTCAATTAATGTTTCGCATTTTTGAAATTCTTACAAGATTACTAGCATGTTTCATCCGCTTTAGACAAGCTAATGTGAAGAACGAAAAAAAGTCAACCGAAATCTTTAAATCATACTTTAAAAGCACAAGTTAACTGAATATTGTGTGTCGATGTGGACATAGCCAGGTGGCTATCGACACGGAATTTTGGTCGAATTCATTGCGTTCTCTTTCACACAGATTCATCGCGTCTGCTTTCAGCTCTGAGTTAAAGACCAGGGCTAACTCAGCTCTATCGCCTTGGTCGGCAGCCACTCTAGGGAAAAAAACAATTCTGAATGCAAAATATTGACTGAGCGTGGGATCAAGCAGCTGCACCCCTAAAGGCCTACTTGTGGCAGCGGCAACGTCCATCGTGGTGAGGCTGTGTTCCTATGCTCATCAGAGAAATGGTAGTGAGGAGGAAATGATTAGTAGGCCACCAGGGAAGGTTGCAACCCTTGGCCTTAAATTGTGTTTAACTTCATGCCAATTTATTTATTTTTTTAAAATCAACTCACCCCAAGCAAGGCGATAATAACACTAAGACGCAAAAAGCTACTGGGAGTGTAAGAGAATGAGAAGATCTTAAAAGGAACCGGAAACGCAATCCTAAACAGGAAATAAGGGATAAGCCTCTACTCCGGTTTAAAATGGTTAATAGACGGCGTTAGGCAGAAACTGTTTCAATAACTTGAATGTATGTATCGTTACCCTGCTGAGTATCGAACTCGCTACCTTTGGTCTTGATTTTATAATCATGACTCTGTGGTTGACTCTCTTCGACTCTTCCTTTCGATTCCAATGTGTTTCTACAGCGAGTTATACAAATAGGACACGGGGTGAGGAGCGAAATCGCTACACGAGTTAATTGGTGTTCAATCTGCACTAGTTATCCCCTGTGCTAACGAAATGTATCCTACACAAATTTGGCACAAGACACCCCATAACATTTGGACTCAGTGAAATAACCAATTTTAATGATTGGTGACTCTGTTCCCCGTCTGGCATAAGTCGACCGCAGTGGGATACTATTGTAGATCGAACTCAGTACACTAGCTATTTGGTCTTTAATATGAGTTTAATAATCACTGCTCCACCTTGGCGTCCTCTGTGGGTTTCGTTCAGATTAGGATTTGTTTGTGGAGCGGCCAAAGCGCGCTTACGTGACGATCATTGTCGCTATGAATATTTCCGAACATAATTCCGGAAATCGGATTGTAATGACGGAAAACGACTTCCCTGTATATATCGTAATTGCAATTGTCAATATTCTATTCTCGTTCTTTTTCTTCTCTCTTTAGAAATCATGGAAGAATTCTGGAGACAATGGTGCGTTAATTATAATTAAGAAAAATGAATGGCGTTTATCCACAGGTAGAGTTTTAGCCGTTTCCTAGAATGAACAAGCTCTGTAATTGTTGGATCAGAGAACTAAGAATTTCAAGACAGTTATGATGATGATAGCAGATTCCATGTAAAGAGAAAAGAAGGCGGAACAATTATTAACAGTAGGAAAAACTCTGTTGAAGTCGGCTATTATTATTATTATTATTCGCTTTCTATCGTTTATATTTTTATTAGAATAAAAAACTTTTCTTTTCTTTCCCTGTTGCCTTCACTTTATTATTATTATTATTATTATTATTATTATTATTATTATTATTATTATAGCACTTCTTAAGTTATTAGAATCAATAAAGCCTGTTGAATCTTGTTGATCAGCGAACTAAGAATTTCAAGACAGTTATGATGATGATAGCAGATTCCATGTAAAGAGAAAAGAAGGCGGAACAATTATTAGCAGTAGGAAAAACTGTGTTGAAGTCGGCTATTATTATTATTATTATTATTATTATCATTATTATTATAGCACCTCTTAAGTCATTAGAATCAATAAAGCCTATTGAATTATTTACATATCTAGGAAGCGAAAATAAATTCTATTGAAAAAGATGTGGAAATCTGCGTAGCTAAACTCTAGGGGTCAGCTTAAATAAAACGGATGTAATTTAGAAATCTGATCTCTAAGACAACCTCAGCGGAGATACTTTCGAGCCACTGTAGAGTCGATTTTAATGTATAGTGCCACTGCTTGGACATGAACTGAAAGCCTCGAGTCTAAGCTTGATGGAACCTACCCTCGGATGCTGAGAGCTATACTCAACATCTCTTGGTGACAACATCCAACTAAATCACAGCTCGATGGATTTATCCCTGATATTACTGCAATGTTACACGAACGCAGAATGCGAGTTTCAGGACACTGCTGTCGGACATGCGAGTGATCTACTGCTCTGGACACCTAGCCACGGAGCAAGACGACTTGGTCGCCTAGCATG